CGAAGACAGGAGCGACGCGGCTCGGTGGTTGACAGGTCGCACGAAGACAAGAACGAAAAATAGAACAGCCATGAACGCTGAACAGTGACACAACGCCAGTGGAGGAACGATGGCAGAAAAAAAAATAGAGAAAAAATAAAACAAATCTAAGATCTAAGAACAGGGATGATGGGAAACAAAAAGTGCAAAAAATTAAAATCAAATGAAACAGATCTGAAAGGAAGAAAAAAAAATGCAGCAAACAGATCTAAAATCAGATGTTCACAAACTCACAGAGTTAAGAGAGAAACCCAATACAGAAAAAGAAAAGAAAAGAGACACGGATCTGGATGAAAATAAAAATAAAGAGACACAGATCTGTGGGAGAGAGAAGGAAGAGAGTCTCCAGCGAGGGAATGCATTGAAGCGGCGACAAGGGAGGAGAGTGGTTACGAGATGAAGACTGCGAAGACGAACGGCTGAGACCTTAACCAGATCTAGTTCCGACGAACAGGAACATGAACTCAAACAGCAAGCACGATGGTCCAAAAAAACCAACGATCCGAATCAGATCTGGAAGAACAGAGACCAGAGTGGCGACAGATCTGTGCAAAGAAGAACGACAGAAGGCAAATGAATGACCGGAGATGATGACCGGAGAAGGAGACGCCCGGAGGAACACGTAGAGATAAAAGGTTTTCGGGAAAGCCATTGAAGAAGATGACCCAAAACCAAAATTAAAAAATAAAATAGGAAACAATCTTAGTTGGGCGGTGAATGAACGACGACAGATCTAAAACAAACGATGCACTGTTGGTGAACCAGCGGCGGAGCGCTGAAGACGATGTTGCTGACTGCTAGCTTGCTAGCACAGGAACGCCGTAGATCTAAGACAATGAAGAAATCACAGATCTAGAACAATCTAGATGATCTGTAGACCTGGAAAACCATAAAACGAGAAAGAAGATGAAAGGGAAAGTGACCAAAGGGTAAGGAAAAATGATGAAAGGAAAAAAAAATCAATGGCAGCGGAACCTCCAATCATGGAGGATAAAAATGCTTTGATACCATATTAGAAGGTAAAAGAGAGAAAAGGAAAAATATTAATTTCATTGATTGTGGTTATTATTTTGTACAATATGTGAGCTCTTATATAGAAGAGCATAAGAGAAAAGAGAAAGATCTAGAATATCACTGAAATACTAAACTACCCTTATACCTAATATCTAATAAAACCTTATTAATATGATGCTGGATAAATTATGATTTGATTTGTATATTTTTTAATATTAGAGATTTTGATTTCATATTTCCATAATTAATGATTATGTATGTTAGATTAAAAAATTGTTGTAGTTGAAGAATCTCATACTATTTCACAAATCCTTGTTAATAGTAGGCAACTCTCATCGTTTTCATCCCAAGCACGAATAACAATTAAACTCAGACCTGATGGTTACTAATAAAATTATCTACATTGCTGAGGTCTTTTTCCATTAAATGGGGTCTGGATATGGATCTAAATAATTACCCGCAATCATTTTGAGTACGAGTACGGGTCTAGGTATTATAATAACCGTGGGTATTACTAAATCAATTCAAACCGTAGTGACTAAATCATAAAATTAATAATCGAATTAATCGAAAATTGACAAAACCAAAAACCAAAAAAATGTGCATATTTTAATTGGATTGGATCGATTTTCGGTTTGATTGGTAAAATCGATCCGATTTAAATCGATTCAATGTATTATGTATTTATTATTTTTGAAAGATGGTAACTTAGAATCTCGTTGTTTTGTAGACTTGGAATCTGTTGAGATATTCAAGTGTAATGAGTTTTACATTAGTTGGTAATAGGCTAAGTGAAAAATATATAAGTGGAATGACCCATGAACCCAATGCCTTAAGGTTTTGGGTTGAGATGTGGTGTCGGACTCACTTGGTGTACTTGGAGTAACTTAACTCATTGGTGGTGGCCCCCCGCCACGGGCTTCCCCCTGGACCCGCTTGACAGTGGTATCAGAGCCGGGTTGTGCTCAAGCTAGCCTGGTGATTGGCTAGGAGGCAGGTTGAGTACTTGGGCCTATAAGGTACTCGGTTGAGGAGGAGCATATTAATGTTGTGTTTCACACTTGATGGGGAGATTGTTGTGATATTCAAGTGTGATGAGTCTCACATTGGTTGATAATGGGCTAAGTGAAAAGTATATAAGTAGAAGGACCCATGAACCCAATGCCTTAAGGTTTTGGGTTGAGATGTGGTGTTGGACCCACTTGGTGTACTTGGAGTAACTTGGCTCATTGGTGGTGGTCCCCCGCCACGAGCTTCCCCTAGACCCGCCTGACAGTCGTATCAGAGCCGGGTTGTGCTCGAGCTAGCCTGGTGATTGGCTAGGAGGTGGGTCGAGTACTTTGCGCTTGGGGTACTCGGTTGAGGGGAAGCATATCAATGTTGGGTTTCACACTTGAGGAGGAGATTGTTGGGATATTCAAGTGTGATGAGTCCCACATTGGTTGGTAATAGGCTAAGTGAAGAGTATATAAGTGGAAGAGACCCATTAACCCAATGCCTTAAGGTTTTGGGTTGAGATGTGGTGTCGGACTCACTTGGTGTATTTGGAGCTAACTTAGCTCATTGGTGGTGGCCCCCGCAAAGGGCTTCCCCTGGACCTGCCTGACAGAATCTTGGATGTTATTGATAGCAAATTATCTTGTTTTATTTTTTTATTGTTTATTAATCATTAACTCTTCATGAGTTTTAAGTCTTATCATAGTTTGAATACTTGAATTTTTCAGTAGTTTGTAACTTTGAATGACTTTATTTTGATATGACTAGTGATTTGTATAATTAAAATATTATGCTTTTTGAAAAATCAAAAATTGATCCAATCCGAACCGAATAAAATTGATTGAATTTTAAAAAAAAATTCAAATCAAATGAATGATTAAATAATCAAATCAAATGGACTGGATCTAATAATTTTTGTTTCAAAACCGATTAAATTCAAATCGGGAACATCCCAACCATCCTATAAACCATTACCAGTTATATATATGGCTTTAATGTTTCTAAAGTGAATGTAGATAAGTTATCTACATTCACTCTCAAAACGACGTCGTTTTGGATTAAAAAATTATAATGAAAAAGACTATTATAACCCTGGAATAAATTATAATTACAAAAATACCTTGATTTCCGCCTCAAAACGACGTCGTTTTGAGCTCAATGCAGATAAACTATCTACCTTCACTTTAGAAAAAGCGAACTATATATATATATATATATATATATATTTTTAAATTTAGTTAGATATTGTACTTTTAATTGATGTTTTTTATTTTGTTAATTTTTTAGTTAATTTTATTTTTGTAAAAAAGAATATAAATATTTTATTTAATTAAAGTGTAGGTTATGAATCCAGGTATAAGGTACCCATTGGGTACGGGTATAGCATTTTTATTTTTTTTTGGTGAGGATAGCATTTAAGTTGCTGCATGTGCAGCTATAGTTTTTTTTTTTTTTTTTTTTAAAGAGCAGCGGTGTAAATAATTTGAGTTAGACCACACTTTAATATAAATAGCTAGTTTATGTAAAATATTTTGAGCAATTTTTTTTTGTTAAGTAGGCTTCTTTTTTTCCTTTGCCTATACCTACTTGCTTACACAACTTAGGTGAGATCAAGTCTTGTATAGTATAGATTGGCTTGTAAACTTTTGGTATATTTCTTCACCTATTTACATCTCTAAATGCGAGTATGTGTTCAAATACTTTATTACCTTATATAGACCTAACTCTTTGCTATATCCAAGCCTAACTTATGAGTGTTTCAGTAATGATGTTTATTGTTTGGGTAGGATGGCAAAATAAAATTGGCCAGGAAAATACGGTAGGACAAATAATATGGCAATATTTGGTAGGAGGATTAGGAAAAAGGTGAATGGAAAAAAAATCTGACCATGTATCTCTTTTACACATGAGATGCTTGGAAAATTTTGGCACCCATGTGGTTATGGCAAATAAATGAAGATTTGATGTGACGAAAATGCCCTAAAGTTGATTTATCAAACCTTAGCTGTTGAGCCTAGATCAACACAATTGAAGCACAAGGGATAGACGAACACAGTTGAAGCACAAGGGATACCAGAGAAATATATGAACATGGAGAGAGAGAGAATGCAGACACAAGATAACATTTTGTATGAGAATCAAATTCAATTTTCAAATTTGAGGGTTATTTTGTAATTTTGCTACATTTTCCCAACAAAATTTTACAATCATCCAAACATAACATCAGTAAAATTCACCCAACTTTCTCGGTGAAATTTTGTAAGTTGATCAAATTCCTTATTCTTTTATCTTAAGAATAGATATTATTGTTCTATTCTTTTTTTTAATACACATTATTGTTCTATTCTTATGTTTAAAGAAGTTGTAATTTCTTTTAACTAACTGAAAATTTTTCTCCTCTTACCAATGATTTTTCTCTTCGTATAAATATAATCCACCATCATATTGATTCTTCTCGCTATATGCTTCCTTTTTTTTTTCTTTCCGGTATTAAAGTCAAATTCTATTTTTATACTCATTAAGTCTCTTTCTTAATTTTTTTTTCTTTAGTATTTGTGAAATATGAGAATGGTATTCTACCTATATTTTTTCTGTCTACTTTTACCTACCACTTTATAATATCATTAGATCAGAATCTCAATTACCTTTATTATTTCTCTCTCCTATTAAAATTTTGATCTAATACTGTTGGAGAGTGGTAGATAAATATAGGCAAAAAAAAAAAAATAGATATAACAACCTATCACGTGAAATATTTTTTTTGTACAAATTCTTAGATAAAATGAGTAATTTATCCTAAGAGTAATAGGAATAATAACTAACTATTAGATCTTTATTTGTATTTGTTGGTTGGGCCGTACCAGGAGTGCATGGCCTTAAAAACAAGCCCAAGAAATAAAAGCCCACAAAGAGGAACATAGTAATCCCTACGACAACCCTATATAAATTTGAAGTAACTCACCTTTCGTTGAGCTTTCTCCTCCTACCTCCGCCGTCTTAACAGCAAAACATCGAGTGAGGCTTTCTCTTCATTTCTTCCGATCAAATCTCAATCATAGGAAACGAAACACACATTTGCATTTACTATCTGTTGATTATTGATTTGTTAGCATAATTTTTGTTTTTTAATTCTTTGTTGTATGAAGGATGGGTGAAGAAGTTAAAGCAGTGGTTCCCGAATCTGTGTTGAAAAAGCAGAAAAGGAGTGAGGAGTGGGCTTTGGTGAAAAAGCAAGACGTAGAAGCTGAAAAGAAGAAGAGGTCTGAAACGCGGAAACTGATTTTCAGCAGAGCCAAACAATACGCAAGGGAATATGATGAACAGCAAAAGGAGCTGATTAGGTTGAAGCGTGAAGCCAAGCTTAAGGGCGGGTTTTATGTCGATCCCGAAGCTAAGCTCTTGTTCATAATCAGGATCCGTGGGTAAATAATTTTATCCATTGTGTTCTTTGTGGTTGTTATTGTTATTGCTTTTTTAATTAATGGAATTTTTATAATGCCAGTATCAATGCTATGCACCCTAAAACAAGGAAGATTCTGCAGCTTCTGCGTTTGAGACAGGTAACCTTCAAATTTGCTGATTGTTGTTATTATTTGCTTTGTTCTTTGTTTTTTTTTTTTTTTGTTAGATTACATTCCATACAGTAAAAGTGGCCGCTACTGCATATAAACTCTACTGTTAATAGTATTGCAGTTTCTCTTCTTTTTTTTGTTGCCTTTCCTCATTGTCTCCAATTAGTTTTGCTATTGAATGAGTTTATGACTAGAATATTGAAACATTCTCTTAATTAAGTGATTGTTATGTTCTTTTCTTGGCTTTTCATACAGCAAGCTCATATGAAATTTGGGGTAGCATAATTATATGAACCTTTGGTTCTTTTCTGTTGTGGTGAAACTCGCTAACTTTTTGTGTCTGTAAAATCTTTAATTTCCCGATATTTTTACGTAACTGGATTGTATGGGAAAGGAAACTCAGTTTACCGGTCCTAAGGCAGTGAATTCAACTAATTAGAATTTATATTATCAGGGTAACAACATTTGATTTTTGTGGTACTGCAAAAATTCCCTAGTTTCATCTCTGCTTAGTTGAGAAACTTAGATGTGAAAAGTAATTAATCTACAAAAATGATTCTTGGTTCTAAGTCATTTGTAAAGATAGGTTGCCTTTTGCTTTATTTTCTTTTTTTATTTAGTTTGAACTTTGAATTGCATCGCCTCAAGGTCACATAAGATTGTACTGGCTAACTTTGGCTGACCTTTTATCTATTTTTATCTAGTAGTTGGTCTAGTTACAGCAGTAACATCAAAATTCTTAAGTTTTATGCTAAAATATTTGATTCTGTCCATACACTGAACTAATCTTTCTCTAAAAATTTTATTTGGTGTTTTAGATATAAAACCATTCGAAAATGTAGAAACTCAAATCTACTTGTTCTGCTGGTTTTAATGATTCTGATCCTGGCTCAAAACTTAAACGTAGACTGAGTTTCAGAAACTGTCTTTCAGCCTTTTCATTATGCGAAAGTGAGCCCCTTTTTAGCCAAAATCCCTGCTTTTGTGAACACTTAGCTCTGCAGCAGCACTGTGACATTTTGTGAGTGGAGCTCGGAAGGATGTATGACCATGTGCAAGTTTGTGCTGGGATTTTGTGAGTGGTTGCTGGATGTTGTATCTGTTTGTGTGCAATAGTGGGTGTACTTTGTCTTTGCAACTGCGTGGGTGCTGTGGTTGTGTTTTTAGGTGCTGTTTCAGTTGTCATGCATCTCTGATTTGTTCTGCTTCTCTGTCATTGTGGATATATTATTTGATCTCGAGCATCTCTGATTTTTCTGGGTTTTCTTTGAGAGGCTACTAGTTTATCTTCATGCTCTCTGTCTTCATTGACCCAAATTTTGACATTTGTATTTCTCCTTTTATTTACCTTCTTGCTCACTCTCTTCGTTTTCCTCAAATTTTGATGCTTTTCAATGTTGGGCATCTTATCTTTATACTGTATTTCTTACAATATTAGAGTGTAGCCTTATTATTATGTTTGTTTTTGCAACAGATCTTTAATGGCGTCTTTCTCAAAGTTAACAAAGCAACCGTGAATATGCTGCACAGGGTAGAGCCTTTTGTTACCTTTGGGTAAGAAAATTTTCAATTAATCCCCAGAGCCCATATTATTTTGGTCCCATTACCTTCACCACAGGTTCTTATATATATGCAAATCGTTTTCAGGTACCCTAATTTGAAAAGTGTCAAAGAATTGATCTACAAGAGGGGCTACGGAAAAGTTAACAAGCAGAGAATTGCTTTGACAGACAACTCTATTATTGAACAGGTCTGTTTGGTGTATGATCAATGATCTGGCTATTATTAAATGTTATAATTGCTTGTTTGTTCTGTTTCTCAATTTTTTTACTGACATAATATTCGATGCCAGACTTTGGGAAAGCATGGGATTATCTGCATTGAAGATCTAATCCATGAGATCTTGACTGTTGGACCTCACTTCAGGGAAGCAAATAACTTTCTATGGCCTTTCAAGCTGAAAGCACCCCTTGGTGGTTTGAAGAAGAAAAGAAATCATTATGTTGAAGGAGGTGACGCTGGCAATAGGGAAGATTACATAAATGAGCTTATTAGAAGGATGAATTAGTTTTTGTCATATCGTTGTTAGTATTAAATTGTTGAGGCTAAGACATTACTTTCGTTCATTCCAGTTTTGTTTTAAAAGATTTATGTCGTGTTATTTTGAATTATGCTTTAGAAGATCGGGATGTTAATCAATTGCTTGCAGTGCAATGAAAGGTTCCCTAGATTTATGTCTTGTTATACCATCAAACTAGTTTTGTTTTTATGTATGAAGACGTATTCCCAATATTATTTCAATTATGTATGAGACGTATTGGTACAAGAATAAGAATTTAAAAAAAAAAAAAAAAGAATAAGTTTGATTTCAGTTTTCATGGAGGTAATGTCAATGGCGAGTACTTACAAAAGTAAAAGAAAAAAAATCCTTTTGTGAAATCGAAGTAAAATGTAATGATTTGAACTAACTTTTATAAAAAATAAAAATTAAGTGAACAGGCTTCAAATTCGATATTTGTTTTGTATTTTTAATTTTATCTACAAGCATCGTTAAGATTAATTTCTTGTATATTGCCTTGATTAAGATATCTTTTCAAAATTCGTTTATTTAATTGTTTATTTATTGCACTCAATTCTTGTCAGTACTTTATATTGGGAATATATTCCAAATAGAAATTTTCTTAATTTACTAACTATTAAATAGTCTTATAATGTTAATATTTTTAGGTATTTTGAACCTTTTATTTTAAATTGGATGTAATATAAAAAAGTATTGGCTTACCAAAAAAAAAGGAAAAAAGTATTGATATTATTGGACTTTTGATAAATTATAAATACATAAAAGTCTGAATATTGATCCATTGAGCTCCGTCGTAGTGATGGGATCGAGTGTTGAAGATATGGATGGTCCGAAGATATGGATGGTCCCACCTGTGTCGGTGGGTCTTATCTCTTTCCAAGAGGCAACAAAAAGTGAATTGCTTGCAAATGTGCGTTAGGTTAACATGCCAACAATAAGGCCATCTTATGGTTTTATTCGGTTTTTATTCTTCACTTATTATGTCTGTTGTTATTATAGATCTCAATTTGAAAAGGCCAACATGCCTACACTTTTATGATCTGCCTCGTAGGCCCCCTGTCCCCTGCTGCTGAGGCCATTTTCCATATTGGATAACCCAACACACAATAGCTGAACAGTATATGTTTTTTTTTTTTAAATAACGGATCCTAATTTTTTTTTGAAGTTGAATCAGATTTTCCGGTGTCCTCATAAATTTGACTCTCTGAGCTTAATTTGAAGTTCGAAACTGTAGTATTGGATTACGCTATTTCTTACTCCTCGCAATGTTGATTTGGTGAGACTCAAATCATTCTCACCTTGACTAGTCCCTGCAAACTGAGGTGCCCCAGCCCCCAGGGTAAAAATTATATATGCTACACAGTTATTGATACGTTTACATTTGTTAAACTATATTTATATAAGCTCTTAACCATAAAATTAAGCAATTTTTTTAAGGCTTGAGTCTTGTGCTATTATTTTATAACATCTGGATATAAATCCTTTACATTAGACAAAAAAAACACTACATGCTCTGCAGATACTAATTCTAATAATTCACCTTAATATTTTCATTTCTGCACTCCCGTTTTATATTTATATGCTATACTTATATGCTGGAAAATTTTAAATTCCATATAATATTGCAAGCTTTAGTGTTGTTCTATACTTTTTTTTTTTTTTAACTTTAGAATGATTTTTCGATCACAAAAATTACGTGGTAAATTATTAGATAAATTTTACAAAGATTATTAAGTTCCGTATAATATTGCAAGCTTTAGTGTTGGTTTAATAACTTTTAAATGATTTAAATTGTTTTATATTGATAATTTTTTTTATTTTTCTCGATACAAAATAAAAAATAATAATAATTATCATAAAATCTATATTGTTTTCAGGATTTATAATTATCATTATCACTATTGGTCTAATAGCAGCTAAACATTTATGCTTCATCATCGTATAACTATGTTTGTGCTTTGCCATATGCTTGATGCATCAACATCACTTGGCTGTTCGTATCTTCGCGTGTTTGTGATGACGCGTCGCTGTAATATCCACTTTTGATGTCAAATGGCCACGTGTACTTTTCTCCTTTGAAAGTAAAAACAAAGAAGAGACACGTAGTTGACAGGTGTTGCCATAAATTCAAGGTCCTTTCACAACTTAACATATAGTTTATAGTTATACACAGAATGCATGGCCTAGTGCACAGTGTGGTTATTATGATGTTTGTTGTGTTGTGATAAAGGTTATGGACTTGTGGTTATGGAGGCACATAAAGAGAAAAGAGAGCAAGTAGAGAAAGAAGAAGAGACGAGAAGAGGATTGAGGAAGATTAGTAACGAAGAGAATGATAAGAGTAAAATGGAAGTGGAGGGTGACACAGTGACCAAAAGGGTCATTCATGAGTCCATGGTATCAAGTCACCGTGGTAGTGACAATGAAATAGCTCAAGCACCCGATGATGTCTTAGCTTTCTACCGATCCGTTCATAACGTTGACTCCTCGCTGGAATGATTCATAATTTTGTTTCCTTAGTGCATCGCTTTTATCTTTTCCTTTTATATATTATTAGTATTTCGAATCTTGAAATTTATCTTTCCTTTTCATTTGTCTACGCTCAATTTTTTGTGGTTTGGAGGTCCGTGGACCAAGATAATGTGTCTACATTTGTTGATATTTTTTTATGATTCAAGATCATTTTACATAGCATAGTATATATTCTCAATGTATCCAAAAAAAAAAGTATATATTCTCAATCATTCATGAGATGGCGATTACATATTCATTAAACCTGACCTTTTTTTTTTTTTTTTTTTATATACAATAGATCAACACTACTAAAAAAACTGGTATTAGGGAGAAACAAATTCCGTCCCTAAAAGCCATAAATCCGTCCTTAAATTATTTAGGGACGAAATTTGAGACGAAATAAATTTCGTCCCTAAATCGCTCCTCGCTAATTTTTTAGGACGTAACTTTAGTTCCGCCCTAATAGGGACGGAATAAAATCCGTCCCTGACATGTGTTTTCCGTCCCTAATATTCTCAAAAATTGAGAGTTGCAAAAGGTAATAATCCGTCCCTATTAAGAAATGATTTTGTGCGTCCCTATTAGGGGACAGATTTTGTCCGTCCCTATTAGGGACGGATTTTGGGACGAATTTTGTCCATCCATAATCTTATCCCTACTTTCAAAATATTATGGACGGAATTTTTCCCTCCCTAATTCCATCTCTACTTTCAAAATATATTTAATAAAATATTTCGAAATTTTCTTAACAAAATTTATACGTGATAATCGTCATAATATAAATCATCAAAGTCATATAACCAATCAAAGCTGGTTTGAAACTTATAATAATTATAACCATACAAGCCATCATAGTCATAATCAAATAGCTAAAAAATCTTAATGATAAAAAGTATCATAAAAGCAAAAATAACAAAGGTATCAAACTACAATATCAACTAATAAGTATTTTTCACAAAATGTATTAAAAGATCATAAAATAACTATCAATTGTCTTCGTGTAACTATGCATCATAGACATCATCTTTCGCATCATCGCCAACTTAAACTTCATCGTGTGCCTCACGAGTAGGAGGTGTAGCAGTGGACATAGAGACACGAGCCATCAAAATCTTCAGCTGCTCTTTCATAACAGCCATCTCTGTTTGCAATTCTTGATTTTGGGTGGATATGTATGTCACTAGCTCTCTCATACGATTATACTCATTTGTAGAGACTCTTTGAGACGAACTAGAAGACTTTTGTGAAGCCTTGTATTTACTCGCCTCTACACCTAAACCAAAAATACTGCCCTTTTTGCTCATACCACCAACAGTCTGCAGGAATAATTCATTATCAGATTGACCGGTAGATGCATCATTTCCAATCACCATATCACGTTCATTCCTCCGCTCAAAGAATTTATCCTGAAAATAAACAAATTACACTAGTCATCAATACATATGGCAATTCTATTAACACATAAATATTTCAAAAAAGGTGTTCGAATAAAAGGTTGCAACATACCTATAGCTTTCTGCCAACATAGCTATGCAGATTACCAGTTAAAATAAATGTGGCATGCTAGTGATTTAAAATAAAACTTAAGCTTTTCTCCATTAAAATCAACCAAAACCCAATTAATTCAGAAGCATTAACATTAAAACAGGAAGGTGAGAGGTGGTCAAGAGGACCTTGTCTCAATGTGTGTGCATGGTGGGTTTATTAATTTAAGGTGTTAATAATGCATGTTACAAAGTAAAGGTGGTAGGTTTGTTAATTTAAGGTGTTAATGAATGCATGTTCCAACGGTGGATTTTTTTTTTTTTTTTTCACGGATGTTGATACAAATTTTATAATATTTTTGTCTTGTTCCAAGTTAGTGTTGATACAAGTTTTATAATATATATTTTTTTGTGTCTTGTTCCTAGTTACTATTAACATGTAATATTCAGTGTGTCATCTTACAAGGACTTAGGTATTCAATTAACATATAGATATTAAACAAAGTGTAGGGAATGTGGGCCTGGGATGACTCCTAGAAAACAAGATGTATTACATTATTATATTCGTATCATCTTTCATGTGGCCACATAAGACAACATTCATAGCTTATTATAGGAATGTAATTCATGATTGAAAATTTCTCTCTTATCAAGCATAAAAGCTTTCACTTAGCTGTCCACTTACATAACTTCATAGCATATATAAGGTCTCTTTACATAACTTAATACATACTACCCAAACCCCTCACTAGATCCATCTGAGTACCTTTGTTTTTCTGAGTGACACATTGAAGAAATCACATTTTCAGCCTTTTCCTCATATGTAAGCTTGATTTTCATGAACCATCCAAAAAATTAGACGTTGAACATTTGAGCATAATATTATAAACATAAAAGCATAATTTTCTTATATATCTTTGTGGTAAATTATTTATATATTATTTTAATTTTTTCATACTTATTTTGTTTATTTTGACTTACTTATTTATCATTTGAATTTATTTATTTATTGTCACAATCAAGGAAAAAGAAGGAAAACAATTGAGAGAAAAGGACACAGAGCCACAATTCCAAGGTAAGTAAGTACCTTGCGGGAAAGCAAGATCATAAAAAAAAGAATAAATACGGTAAAGAATTAATGATTCAACCAAAAATAAATACAGTAAACAATCAATTAAACCAAAGTTGATATCATAGGCGGAC